GCAGGTTTTTCCAGCAGGACAGCAAGGAGATATTATCATTGCATGGACTCATCTCAGATTACTTGTCTCCTTCCTGCATGTGTCAAAGTGAATGGGAGCAGGACTGGCCCTTGCATTTAAGAAAGAAATATCCTTAGGTTTTTATGGGCATTCATATCTGTCTTTGTCAGATTCTTCCTTCCCTTTACTCATGCGAGCGCTTTGAGAGCGAACAGCCAGCAGCATTGCCATTCAGAGGATACTCTGATATATGTCTTCTAGTAGACAGGACACCTGTGGCCATGCCAACCCGGGTTCACCTACCATCATTTCCTTCATGACCTTTACAGGTGTCAGACGAGACATTTTTTTTTTTCCCCAGTTGCCTCACTCTGCACTAGATGCAATTTTAGGTCCAACAAGTGAAATAAGGCAGCCCATTAATCAACTCTGCCTCCCAGTCTTCTCGTTTCTATCTTCCTGTAGTTTATTTTGCTGCATAATGTAACCCAGATTTAAAAACAGGGGTATATTACCCTGTCAGAACACATCCTGCTCTTGCTTGTCCAACGGGACAAGCTCAGCTAGATGAAGGGAAGAGTTTTGTTTTGGTGGAACGAGACATCCTACCTGGCTCTAGTGGGATTGCACTGTGTGTCATGCAGGAGGATGCTGCACGAAAGACATCTGTGCTCCATGCATCTATCTTCTGGGGGATGTTGCCAGCAAATATATCCATTAGTTACTCTTCAGTGTAAAGCACTGCATGGATCACAGAAAGGAAAAGCCACATCAGCAAAGGAAATAAATATATATGCAGAAGGGCTTAAAATGAGCTTGGTAACATAAGGAGCTTAATGGCTATCTTTGTCATTGAGAAGGAGGAAAAAACTGCAATGGGACCAACTCTTGCTAATTCTTTGCTGTTGTTAGAATTGCTGGAATGTTTTATTGGCAAAATTTTACGATAATATTTATGCCTAGATGCTTAATATTAAGCTTTAGGTAAACACACAGTAGTGCGATGTAGAAAGTGCATTTGGGGAGTAAGAAAATGTGTTTGCTTTACATGCCAAAATAATTTAATTCAGATTGATTAATCCATGGCATGCTTAATTTAATAGCAGATGGTCATTTTAGAATTTCTCAGATTTGGGAATCTTGGCATGAAATGAGACTCAAAGCTGGTAAAATCTGCAGCTCTAATAGCTTTTATTTCATAAACTGCACAGGACTGAATTATAAGTGAAGATATTTTTCTACTCTCGTCTAAAACCCACACATCCCATACATTTTTTTAAAAAAAGTGGTTTTACTGTGTTGTATTTTGTTCGTAACAATCCATTCATGTAATTTTCCCTGAGCTTTTTTATTTGACCCTGCTTGCTTATTATGTTTTAGGTAGCATAGTTGTGGGTTTTATTGACCCTTGCTTGTTGCCCATTTGTTTTATAGTCGCAAAGTATTGCAATGCTTAGCAAGATTACCTTAAACCATTGCAATTTAGTCCCGTTTGCTAGAAGGGGATGTGGAGAAAGGGTTAGCAGCAGGTGCCTTCTTTTTCAGGTTTTCCACAAAACGTGAAGGGCTGGAGGAGCTCAGACCACCCAGCACTGACTCCTTCAGCTTGGGAGAGCAGGGCTTTGGCTGGGCCTGGGTGAAACTGAGGCACATGCAGTGGCTGTAGATGAGTGAAGCAAGGATTTTTTGTGTGTGTGTTGGAGGAAGGGGGCTTAAAACGACTCTATGTGAGATCTCTTTTTTTTTTAACGTGTGGCCTGACACCACTAAGTGGTGCCCAAAAGTAGTTTAAATCCTTTCAGGCTGCTGGTCCCTGCTCCATCCGTGGAGCTCATCGTTCGGAAGATGGTCCCATCTCACCCGTTGCCTCCGGGTGCTCCGGTGCTGTTCTGCTCCGACGCTGCTTCCATCGTTTTCCCCGCCGGATTCCCACGGCCTAGTACATCACCTACGGTCCATAAGGCGGATGTCAAGCCTGGTTGCGTGCAGCTTGGGGAGACTGATAGCAAACATAAATAGCTTGATAAGGTCAAAACATTACAATTTGGGACACAGGAATTTAGACCACGATCATGAATAATATGGTATACATAAAATAAAAATTGATGTAGTCATCAAAGTTCTTTTACTGAGTGAAATGAAAAGTCATCCAAAATGAATGTGAAGAATCAAAAAGACGTGTGAGACCTTTACAGCTGTGCTGAGAAGAAAAGCTGTTGGTATTTGTGCCTCCTGTGTGCTGCTCAAGTAAAGGACAAGCAGTGCAATGCACCTCATAATATTATCTTATATAAAATGCTTTTATTTGAGCAGCCATGTTGGAAGAAAGCAGAAAGCTTTATATAGGGATTTAATTTTCAAATTAATTTTCAAATAGGTTTTTACTGTATGTGAAACCTTCCTCAATATCTAGCACACACAGTATATGGTTCAGTCCTACAGTTCAAGCAATAGACTTGATCCTCAGTAAAAATGTCTTACTAAACCTAACTAGCAGACTGCGTTAAAAGCGTTCCCTAATACTTAAAAACTAGAGTAAAACTAGAATCCCAAACAATTTATTCAATGTAATTTAGAAACTGAGATATATACTAAACAAAAGCATAAATACATAGAAATAGGATGCAGACATAAAATTTTCAGATTTATTTTTACCTATACTTAAAGGCAATGGAAGTATTTTTCCCACTATAAATGTCCTATGCATTCTGCATTTTTTTTCTTTCTTTCTTTCTTATAAGGTAAGTTACAGAATGATAAAATGTAGAAAGAAAACCTACTGGGTACTTCAACTGGACAACTCTGAATCAGGTAAATTATGATTGTTCAAAGAAATAGTGAAGGGGAAAACAATTATATGTTGTATCTGAATGGGTTCTAACAAGTTGTATAGCCCTTTTATTATTATTATTATTATTATAGTTACTCAAAGGAAACCAAGAATTAATTTGATAGCTGCTTGAAAAGGCTAATTCAGAAATACAATGTCTAAGTGGGACTAAAAGCTCTGGAATACACTTCTAAAAGCATCTCATAGTGTAAAAAAAAAAAAAGGTGATTAAAATCTATAATTTTAAGTATAAATACTTATTTAAAAATAGAAGATGCTAGGCTGCTAGAAGCTCTGTGCTCATTTAAAATTCCAGGACAGTTTTGCAAATTTCATTTTCCTGAATAACTACAGGGTAGTGTCCTGAAAAGTCAGTTTTCTATTGTGATAGCCATACTATTGACTAATGGCCACTAATTCAAATGAAGAGACTTACTGCATTCGGGACAATGAACTTGCTCTTCCACACTCACTTAATAGGTCACTGCCTTAATACAGTTCTCCACTCCCAACCCTTTTGTTTTTAGCACCTGTTCAGCAATTGAAGACATCCAGTAGGTGGTGAACATTTTTTTTCTCCTTCAGCATACATTTTCTTTGTGTTTGAAGCACTATTTTAGTCAAACAATGCACTTTGCAGATTGTAATTTGACTGTATCCTGTCAACGGGGGTGCTAAGTCTTGATGATTGTGGTGTACGGGAATTTGGTGGAGCTTTAATAATAGTTGTGTTTCATACAAATATTGAATACAATTTACTGAGTAATTGCACAGGAAATTGTCAATTCCAGCATGACTCATACTCTTCTAGATTATGTGGACCAGCTCTTGCTACTCACCCATTAAAGCTGCATTAAACCCCAATTCTGTGCTATTTTGAGGTACCAAAGGCAGCATTGTATGACAGCTTTTCCCACTGCTTGCAAGCAAGGCTGAAGAGATGACCATCTGATAGGATTTCTCTGCATCTTTCCATATCTGATTTCAGTTCATAGCTTCCTTTTTTTTAAATCAAAGGAAGAAGTGTAATTAGAGAGTTACAACAGTCCCAGAAACACGAGATTGATTCCCATGATGGCTGAAAAACACCCCATGCAGTGTTTATAAACAGGCCCAGTTTCAGAGTTCTAATTAACTTTATTAATGTTTAGTGCAGGAAGTAAGAAGGCAACTTAAACAAGGATATAAAAAGCACTGAAGCATTGAAACTCTGGTTTCATGTAACTGCCTCTTATTGAAAGACATATTTTTCAGGATTTTGTAAAGAAAAATAGAGTAATTCGGAAGAAAGATATTAGATAACTAATACACTCTTATTATAAGGAAGCTTTAAATAATGAGCAAAGATACTAATAGTAGCTTCCCACTTGGTAACATAGGTAGCAATTCTTTATGATGTGCAATTAATAAATATGATAGCAAACGTTACAGTGTACAATGACAGTGCGATAAAAGAGATGCAATTATGTGTAAGATTCCTATTGTGCCAGCAAATAAGACTTTACAGGCTACTGGAAAATGAGGTTGTGAAAAACCAATTGCAGAAATCCTTTCCCTATGTTCCTTTTACAGAAACATATCAATTCATATGTGAAAAGTTAAAAAATCACTTTGGTAAATAACCTGAAGGAAGATTTTTCTCTTGCAATGGACACAATAGTAAAGCATTGCATTCACTGAAACTGTATATATTATTTTGATATAATCACCATATCTAAGCTTAACAGCAAGGATATATTGATCATACATAAAGTATATTCTTTGCATAGATTTCCTGTTTATTGCCCATAGATTTCCATTTTGTGGGTGCAGGTACAATTCAGCAAGCTTTGGTGCTCTTCAGTGAACGCAAACTGGAGCATAGCTGAGAAATTCATATGATGCACATTTCCCATCATTATAACTGCAAGGAATGCTGTAATAATACTTTTTAGGTGCTAAAATTACTTAAGCATAAAAATTGCAGTAAAAAATATAAGAATACTTTTCCCATTATTTATTAACCCTGATTCCCAGGCATAATGATTTAACAATATTTATAAGGTATTTTACTTTTATTCTGAGAAGCTCTCAAAACACTGTGGTCAGTAGTGTGTCCACTAAAAGGATTGTGCCTTGAAATAATTTAGTATCTGTTTCTTCTATTTTTTTTTGCACTCTCACCAGGTAAAAACATATAAAAACCTGCTTACAGTTAAGCAAGACTACAGTATTACTTTATACAGTTTAGGGGTGGAGTATTCACATATTAGGAATTCAAAAATATGTAATGTCAGTAATGGAAAATCAGCGTATTTTTACAAGATGTAAGCTAACATAGTGTGTTTTGATATAATCCTTTATGTGATTAGCCTACAGTGCTCGCAGTCTTGCCAAAAGAGCTTCTACTTCTGGAATGGCTTCTCCCTTAGAAGGCGACCCAATACGCTCTGTTTTCTTTTCTTTGTTGCCTTCTCCATTACAGGCTTCCTTTCTCCCAGCAACTTTGCTCCACGGTGTAGAAGAATTTGTTTCTATGTCATAAGAAATCTCTTTGGTGACTGGGCTTCTCGTCGAGTTTAAACTGATACTGTGGTGTGAACATGACTTCTCCGGTTGTGCTTTCTGGTTCTCTGTGGAAGATAAAATAAAATAAAGATTATTCACAATCAAGAAATACTGAAATTGAATATTTTAATGGGGAAAAAAACACATCTTGATCAGACAAAATTTTACATGCAGATGGAGGAATGATTGCCAGAGAGGAATATATTACTATCACTTCAGAAGCAATGGGCTTGACCCATTGGAAATGATACAGAGTTTACATGCCTTCATTAAATTAGCATCCATTTCCCATAAAACTGGGGATAGATGCTGCCAAAATCTTCATTTCGCACTGCAGTCAAAGAGAAAACAGAGCCCTCAGCATTTTGCGGTGGCTTCCAAAATTGTATCTAGATAATTATGTTTCCTATATATTTTGTAATTGACCTAATTTTAAAATTCATAAAAAATCTATTTCAATTTAATTATCCATGGAGATCATTCTTCTTTCCTTTATGAATCTTTTAGGTGGTTAAATAATTTTAGAAGTTTGCAAAGATGTCGCTACTTTTTGCTAAACACTGCTGCTCTTCCCTGTCACAGGTTAAGATTCAGGAGCTTTCCTGGATTGACATACAGTAACGGATAGTTTTTTCCCCTTAAATCAAGTGACTGTTCTCTATACCAGCATCTGAGTGATCCTTCTCATAGATCTCACACTTCTCAGGAAGAGGCATACTCAATATTCATGTAACCTTGGACAAGGCTTGAAAATGGCTTCAACAAACTTGACATGACATTTAAAGTTTTTTGGTTATTCGTTGAAAGATGTTCCATCATCCCAATAGTAATGACTTTGGAGCACAGGCAGTCACTCATGACAGTGTGTTTTATGTGAGTGCTGAAAATTCCTACCGAAAACAGCTTGTACATTAAAAGGCAGCTGCTGAAGATATTTACTGCACTGTCATTCCCTGACCAGGGGCTCACAGTGATGGATGAGGATTTTATACACTTTCTTGGACAATCTCAGCAAATTTTAGAAGTATGATCACCTTTCGGCAATCGGAGGGAAATAAATATCTTCTTTCCATCATCTTCTGAATCAGATAAACAATTCCTAATTAAAATCTGGGAAGAGCTGAATTTTTTACTTAGCTGATAAAGGTAATTTCTATTTTATACCTCGGAAAATAACTTGACACTGAAGATGAAGCAGCATACATTTCATTTTTTCCTGAATAAGGCCAAAGATCGATGATGAACGCATCGTTATAATTACACAAAATCAACCCATCATACCTAATTAAAATAACTGTGGTATAGACATTCTTATATACATTAGTCAATTTCAAATGTTTGTATTTATTGGGTCTGAACACATATTTGTAACCTGATATAAAACATACTACCCGTATCAATATACAAAACACTAGATGCTCCCTAGGCCTTTTTATTTTTAATTAGTTGAAGACAGGGTAGGGTTAGTCAGAAAAATACTCGGTCCCTCGAAAGGCAGTATATTTTTTAGCATAAAAACATCTATAATCAGGGTTAAGTATAGATGGTGAACTTGAAAAAAAAGGCAAAGAAAATTAGGTACTGACACATACTTTTCAGAATCAGTTCCTCAGTATACCAATATCCAAATTCTACCTACTTTGCAGTTCAAAGGAGTCTTTATCCCAAAACAGGCATAAGGATTAAGTATGATGAACTAGGCTGAATAACAGATGCAGTGCACATTTATGCCTCAACGTAAAATCCAGCAGTATGTTCCTCAATTTCTCACATTTCACAGGGCCAGAGTTAGATGTCTTAGAGTAAGATTTAGAACAGCAAATCTAAGACCAACTTCAAAGGAAGCTACTAAGAAATAGTAAACGTTGAGATTGATTTAAAATCTTGTCCCTTAGTAACTGATTTAGCATTACAGAGATATGTATCCCATGACTTTTGATCCACAACCTGGATTCCTGTTCGAAGGCAGTAACTGAGTAAAGTTGAGTTGAGCTTTCTCTTTTTATGCCCCTTAAAACTACAGCACTGGTATGACCATGGTGTCGGTAGTCATGACTTTCTAGGTTAGCCTAATGTATAGACAATTCAGTTCAAAACTAAAGTGCTCTCCTTTTATCTGAAGGTCATCTGGCAGCAATCAGAGTGGATGGGAATGTGCTTTAATCACCAGCAGCTTAGAATCATAGAATCATAGAATGCTTAAGGTTGGAAGGGACCTCTAGAGGTCATCTAGTCCAAGCCCCCAGCACACGCAGGGTCACCTAGAGCACGTGGCACAGGACTGCGTCCAAGCGGGTTTTGAAGATCTCCAGAGAAGGAGACTCCACAACCTCTCTGGGCAGCCTGTTCCAGTGCTCTGTCACCCTCACTGTTAAGAAATTTTTCCTTAAGTTCCTGTGGAACTTTTGGTGTTTCAGTTTGTGGCCATTACCTCTAGTTCTGTCGGTGGCCACCAGTGAAAAGAGGCCAGCACCATCCTCCTCACTGCCTCCTTTGAGGTACTTATAGACACTGATCAGGTCCCCTCTCAGCCTTCTCTTCTCCAGGCTGAACAGGCCCAGCTCCCTCAGCCTCTCCTCATAGGGCAGATGTTCCAGGCCCCTGATCATCCTTGTGGCCCTGCGCTGGACTCTCTCCAGCAGCTCCACATCCCTCTTGTACTGTGGAGCCCAGAACTGGACACAGTACTCCAGATGCGGCCTCACCAGGGCTGAGTAGAGGGGCAGGAGCACCTCCCTCGACCTGCTGGAGATGCTCTTCTTAATGCAGCCCAGGATCCCATTGGCCTTCTTGGCCACGAGGGCACACTGCTGCCTCATAGGTCATTGATGAAAAAATTGAACAGGACTGGACTCAGGACTGACCCCTGGGGGACCCCGCTAGCTACAGGCCTCCAACTAGACTCGGCACTGCTGATCATCACCCTCTGAGCTCTGCCATCCAGCCAGTTCCTAATCCACCTCATTGAGCACTCCTCTATCTCACACTTCTGGAGCTTGCTCAGGAGGATGTTGTGAGGGACGGTGTCAAAAGCTTTGTGCAAGTAGTCCTCATTTCACCTGTTTTATACACTCTACAGCAGAGAAGTTATGATTTCTTGGAGGAATGAAAAAGTGATGTGTCCATAATACATGATCCTGTAGTCTGGCACTTACTGTACTTCCTAAGAAATGAGAACACTTTGGTCTCAGCCATGGGACCAAAAAAAAATTACCATGCAGTCAGTGTTAATTACTGAATAAGATTTAGACACACATATTTTATCTAAATCCAGTGTTACCATCTCAAAGCTGTAATGTCAGCTGCTTTCTCAATCAGACAGCATCTTTATCCTGCATGTTCTTTCAGTCAGAAGAAAGTTCTCCAGGGAGTATTGCTCCTCCTAAGTGCAAGTGCAGGTTCCTCTGTAGGCAATTCCCTGCTTTGAAGCTGGCTGCTGTGAATGCCACCCAGAAAGAAAGAGCTTTGTCAGGCACTGCTTAGAAAGCACACATGCCTTGCCCAGAGTTGTAGAATTCATACAGACGTAAAGAATTAAATGCTGCAATACTTGGGCTATATGTACTTCTGGTGGTATTTTTTGCATCCTAAAAACCACCTCCAGATGATCATCTCCATTTAAGCTAAAGCTTAAAATTAAGTACTAAGAAATTTAAAATGAGAAATGACCAGTATTTGCTTGGAAATACCAATTTTTACCTTGCCACTATTTTAAACAAAACATGAATTACTTTTTCTTTTTCTCCTTTTTTTTTTTTTTTAACCCCAAACACTCACAGACTCTGTACTGCTTCACTCATTCCTTTAAAGCTTTCATACTTTGGTGCCTCATTGGTACCTCATCCTTTCCACAGTCATTTCTTTGTGTTGTTTCTGCACTTCCCTCAAATGGCTAGGCTATAGTGGTAAAACTGAAAAAGTGCATTTTTAGCCTGTTGGAATGGGGGGTATAAAAAGCCAGTGCATGTCACATGTGAATTAAAAAACACAAGGCTGAAAGTTATTGCAGTTTAGCACATAACTGATCAGGAGGGAAGAATCTGACTTCTTTAGTTTAGTGTAATAAAGAGTAGGAAGAATATCATAGAATCAGAATCATTAAGGTTGGAAGGGACCTTTGGAGACCACCTAGCTCAACCCTCGCCTTCACATGCAGGTCACCTAGAGCCTGTTACACAGGATATGGTTACTAATTTTCAGAAAAAGCAACAAGTTGAGATTAACCAACAAAAGAATAGATACCTTTTAATAAAATTGTTAAAAATTGGAGTATTTTGAACCAAAATAATGATTCTGGAAGGCCTACATAATAGAAAGGAGCAAAAAACATAACCAAATGCAAGAAGGAATTTGAATCTGTTTCTGAGAAGAATATTTGATCTGGCTGTCTGCAACAGCAGGGAGATGGCTTAGTAGCATTGGGCCACCTTTTTAATCCAACATTTCTAGAACATGGATATACACTGAAACTCCATAAACCAGACAGATAGCAAGGAACTTCTTTTCCTAAAAAGCCCAATCAAGTTTTCATGTGGTAATTTCATTAGTAAATTTCACCTTGGAAATTCATTTAGTTTGTGCTTTTCAGTAACATACTTTTGTCAGTAATGTACTTTTGTTACACACCTCAGTTCAAATGCGCTTAAAAGAATAGAATTATGAAATGTTAGAAGAAAACTATTTATGGAAAGGCACATCTGCAGAAGGTCTTGTTAGGAGGAAAGCTTACATTTCTGATGGTGTGGTATTTGTTCACCCAGTACAGCAAAGTCTACTTCTGAGCAGGAATAAGTCAAAAAAACAGAAAGGTATTGAAATCACTGGATAAAGATGGAACTTACTAATTTGCTATATGCATTGGTGGTAGGTACCTTGCAAAAGGCTGAAGCTTCTAATGTTTGGTCACTTTTGGCAATATTAAAAACAATCAAAATTTGTCATTCTGAAGGCAGGCAGGGTTGATAAAACATCAACCATATTTAACTAGTGCTGAAGGCTTCCGGGCAATGGTTAGGCAGGGGCTCTGTTTTACAGTACTAAAGACTCAGTGTCCAGATTCCATGAT